TGCGCGTGGGGGCGCTGCACGACTGTTTGCAGGGGGGTGAGGCACCAGGCGCCGTTTTGCGAGTGGGGGTTTGCACGCCTGATTGCAGAAGGGGGCTGCGGGCAGGGGTTTGCACGCCTGATTGCACGGGGATGGTGCAGGTGGGGGGTTGGCACATGGGGCCTCGCATGAGGGGCTGTGCACAGGGTTTTTGCATGCCAGGTTGCATGGAGGACTGCAAGCAGAGTTGCACAGTGGGTGTTGCACGCCCGTTTGCATGGCGGGAGTTTGCACTGAGGTTTTGTATGTCTCGTTGCATGGGTGCTGCAGACAAATTTTTGCACGTGGGATTTTGCATGCCTGGTTGCATGGAAGGGTGGGCTGCAGGTGGGGGTTTGCATCTGGGGTGTTGGGTGGGTGATTGCACAGGGGGGTTTGCACGCCCTGGGGTTATACCCTCTCCTGGAGGCTCTGAAGGCAAGGCAGGACATGGAGGCAGGCGCTTTCCAGCTTCGCTCTTCCTGGCAGACATGTTCTGATGCATCTTCTGCATGTGCCGTCGCTACAGGAGAGCTCACCGCAAGGCGGGCCGGGGGCTTGCTGAATGCTCCAGTTAAAATTTTGATCCTGTCAGCTTGGGGCCTTCGGCTGTTGATGCCCCATTAGCATCTCCCCACCGACGGCCGCGTGGGCCTTGCAGTTAAAATTGCAAAAAAAGCCACAAATGAAGGATATAAAAACTCCTTGAATAGGGAAACGCGCAGGGGACGACGTGATGCCAAAGCAAGCCCGCAGGCGAAACCCGCTGGGTCCTGCTGGGTCTGGCCAAATCTCGGCCCGGGCTTCCCGCAGCCCCCCATGACTGAGAAGCAGCTGCCGTCGTTGCTGTTAATTTGCGTTATTTTGTGTTAATATGTGTGAAGGCAGCTTTGCAAACATCTAGGATATATAGGGAAAGGTCAACGCGTGAGTGGACAGCTACGTAACAGCATAATTCTTTAATTTTGAGGCACCTCTGGGTGGATATATATGATTTATACACATCTGGAAGCATGGAAGAACTTTTTAGCTATTGAAAATTAAATAATATTTCTATATTTAAAGCTTGGGTCCTGGAAGATGCTGATCTCCAGCCATGCCGCGGCTGCTGAATCATGCCCGTAAGCCCCTAATGTCCTTAATGCTAAGTACAGGCAGGAGTGCTTTGCCAGGCTGGAAGTGTTAGTCCCTCCTAGACAAGCAATTCCAAATATTTATATGTTGATTCTTTTAACTTTGAGACACAAATAAGCTGGAGACGTTTTGGTGGCAGAACAGGAAAAAAAAAAACAAACCTAAACAACCACCAACATGGGAATCTCCGCTGGTCTATTCCGCTTTGTGTAAACTGAGCGGAGAAAATATTTCCTGTTTCGGGATCAAATAGTGAGAGTTCAGCCAGCCCGTTTTCTCTGGTTATTTGAGAAGGGGTTAAAAATGGGGTCAAAAAGACTGAATCCTGCCAATTCGGTCCCATATTTGGTCTGGAAGGTATTTTATTTTAGGGGGTCTCGAATGCAAAGTCACCCACTGACGTAGGAAAAATAACGGGTGGTTTTGCTGAAGGGGAGAACCCATTGCAATGCTGCTTGCGGTACTGAGGGCAGAGCAACGCTTTGTCCGAAATTGGAATTTATTTGTGATAGCTGATATTGAAGTGCTTAAAAATATACATTTGGAAATAAAAGTTCATTGGGGGAGCTGAGGCAGGATTTAATACCGGAGTCCCTTTTCCTGGTGTGGCCGTTTGCAGAGGCTCCCGCCGCGAAATCCAGCCTTGCAGCCTTCTCCGAAACATGCTCGTGCGCTCTTCGTTGGGGGAAAAAGCGGTCTGAGAGGTGTTAAATGGAAGGAGAACTATGCTTTTTTGGTTTCGGATCCGGCTGCTCCGTGTGATGCTGATGGAAATGGTTCTCGTTCTCAGCAACGCCGCTCGTGTCGGGGCTTTGAGATCTGCTGTAAGGTTGGTATTGATGGGACGTACCAGGACACTGGGTGAAGACAATAACTTCGAAATAATAAACGCGGGAGACCGGCTTCAGCCCTCATCGGTAATCACGTAAATCTGCACAAAGTCAAGTTTCCTCCCCCAAAACGCCGTCCTCATCTTAACGGGTCTCTAAAAAAGGGGGTTGCAAACCCCGGAGCTGGTTACCTCCTCGCTGGCCCCGTGCAGGAGCTGCTCTTTCATGGTCGGGTGCGTTTCCATATGCATCGCTGGCTTTTTTGGGGGTGAAACCAGGCCACTGTTAAACCCCCCCCCCATGGTTGCTCCTGTGCAAAAAGCGGGATTGCCAACACCTGGAGTGAGAAACAAGCCCTAAAGCCACCCCAGCCCCCTTTCCCCCCCCCCGTTTTT